GACAGCGGCGTCACGCAAATGAATGCCGACCAAGAGATACGCGACAGCATAGAGCCACCGCGGCCACTCGATCAGGAAGCCGCGAGACCAGCGCCAGTAGAGCCTGAAGAACCCGCAGAGCCTCAGCAGATGCCACGCGACCCGCCAGCACCGCCTGCCGAAGACGACGCGCCTGCATTCACGTCCAGAAAGAGAATGAAGAAGGAGCCCAAGGACTCGCCATGGAAGCAGGCGGCTCAGAGTCAGGAATGGCAACCTCAGGGCTGGAGTCCAGCGCCAGCCAAACGACGATCATGACCACGTTCAATAGCGACTGTATAACTACCTGTTTCAATACCTGGCAAACATCAGCAACCTTATGCGATATTCAATGTCACCAAAATACTGCTCTCTGTTCGATCAACCATCTCATATAGTACACTGTCAAGATGATCCTCCGTGGCGCAGGATCTGTCATGCCACGCTTCCCAACCATAGGTCAGATCTCGAGTCGATGCGAGCCTGGTAAAGCCAATTCCTCCGTCAGTCTCCGTCAACATCAATATCTAGCACATATTCACACTCATGCTAACAACACTGTCGCTTACTTATCTACAACGCAGCAGTACCAGAAATTCACCTTAGTGTCTCCGCGTTTCCGCACTATGTCAGGTGTCGAGCACCAACTGTGGTACCGATTCACAAACCGGACTGTAAACCACGCGCAGTGACGAAAATTATACCAACGATGCGCTTAAGCATGAGCTTCGTAACATATATAGAGCTCTCTACCCATGTCTTGACGCCTATTCTTCAAAGCAGTATTCATAATCATGGCACCACTTTCAAGCATCGACGATGACATGACATTCCAAGTCGCTGCACAGAACCTGCCCCCAGAACTACTCCTCATCGTACTAAAGCAATGGCTCGGCCAACAGCGCATCGTAATCGATGGCTCCGCCCATCCCCACTACACACTATCCTACACCAATCCTGAAAACATCGATCCCTTCGCCACCATCTCCAGGACCAGCGATGTCCCACCATTCATTTTCCAAGAATACTTTCGGTCTCGGATCCGCTCCTGGCTGACCGACGCCAAAGACTTCTCCGACCCAACAACATTCTACATGAGCCATCTCCTGATGAGTCTGAAGATGAAGGACCGCATAGGCTGGTACTATCTGCCCAACCAGCCCTGGGATGCCATTTGCCAGGACCCGAAACTCTCCTTGTCGACGAAGTTTCCCGTGATAAACGAGCGTGGTGCGCAATACGCTCGCATGAAGCATCTCTCATCGCTCCACGGACTAGAGAAGATCAAACTCGACTTCACGGCCGAACAATACTTCGCCATGTTCGACGTCGCGGTACCACCCTTCCATTACCGCGACGGCGCAGTCGCCGGCGATAACTTATACCGCGACGAATTCTGCCACGGTGCCGGCCATTTCCTTTTGCACACAAAGGAACTTGAACTCCATTTCGGCAACGCATACAAACAGGCAAACCCCTGGTACGACGTCCAAGAAGCTGCTTGGTGCGAGACAAATCCCGCATGGAACTACGCTGAAGCGAGACTACGCACGCACGTCTGCGATAGTGGATTGGTCATCGACTGGATACTGGAGTATGCTTGGTACAACGGGCATCTTCAACATATCAAGACGATTACTTTAACTGGCGATATCCAGCAATGGGTGAAGGAGAAGTGGTATGATATCTTCAAGCGGCATGCAATGTACCTCGAGGAGTATCCTGGACTGTGTTATCGTATTTTTGCTGTTCATGAGCCTGATCCTATTGATTTGGAAACTATTGGTATAGACGACGAGGACGAGGATGAGCAGGATGAGGCGTGGAGGCCGCAGAATCATTATCCGCCGTCTTGTCGATGTGAAGTGGGGTGTTGGCGATTGCGGGGTGGGAGGGTTGAGGAAGAGCTGGAGGTTAAGTCTTGGGATGATTTTGAGGTGTATGCTGATGAGGTGGTGGGGGATTGGATGAGTGGTGTTGATTTGGGATCGCTTTGACGCCTACATTAACGCTACGCCTTCTTATATGATTCTCACAATCCCAATGTGGCCTGCAGGCCCGTCGAGTTTCTTCGTTGCATGAGATGGTATTACTCATTGATTCAAGCACGTTTTCGCATGCGTTGCATCAACGCAATCAGAATATAATCGTCACGCTGGCTGCGGCGGTGCGTTGCGCACATGAATTTGCATGAGCGTGCATACAAGTTGATATCAGAATCGAAGCCCTAAGTGCGCAATGGTAGACATTACGAGCTCTATCGACCGTCACGCCTAGAATAATGGTCCAGATTGATAGGGGTAACAGCACAGAACGCAAGAATCCTGATCTGACGCAATTACGGAGAAGTGTAAGTAATAATGATGTAGAAGAGAATGAAGATACTCAAAAATCATGCATCATCCTCATGTCGAGCTGGTGACGACCTCGCCGCTACACATCGATCTTGAGAGCATTGAGTCATCACCCTCATCGTATTGCTGCTGCTATCGGACAATCGATGTACAGCGAGGCAGGGATGAACGACGAGGTAAACTAGGTGTCTAATTTAGGTTGTTTAACTTGTAATTTAATAGATGTTTAGTATAGTAGTAAAGGCAGCTATACTATAAGTATAAATCTTATAATACTATAGTTACCTATTTCTAAAGTATAAATTTTCGCGCTAGTAGCGCTTAAATTTCTTTATAATACTTTAAATATTATCTTTATTATAAAAAATATATAGCTAATTTATATACTTACTAATAATCTAACTAGCCTTATATATAAAAAATATATATTAGCTACTTTATTTTAAGACTTAGTCTAGTTATAAAATAAAATACTTAAGTATATTACTACTTATTATAATACTAGCTTACTTAATTAGAAAAAATACTAATAAAAAATAAAAGCTTTAATTTATAAGTAAGCTAAAGCTTAGTTTTTTTTTATATATTTTATAGTAACTACTTTAGTAAAAGTTTATATTTTTATAAAGTAAAAATATAAAGCTCTTACTTACTTTTATAACTTTATAATTATTACTATTAGTAATAATATAATAATTTTTTTAATTAACTTCTAACTAAAAGTACTAAGCGCTTTTAGCTAAAAGCTATATAATAATACTATAAAAAAAATTTTACTAAAATTATAAGCTAAAACTATAAAAAATAGTTTACTATAATAAAGAATAATTAGTTTATAATAGTAGTAGAAATACTTTAGAAGTAGACAAATAATTAGTATAATCTTAATGCCTAACACCTCTACAACGTGATGCCAGACACCCGACGAGGTAAAGCGAATGCAGAACAACCAATATATCCTCGGCCCCCAAGCCACCCGGCTCAGCTCGACCATGACGTCACCGCCCAAACACCTTCGCACTTCGCCGCAACAACAACAAAACCGCAACACGAATCAAAACTCAAACCCAATCAACCTCATATCTTGATCCCCATCGTGCCGACTTCCCCTCTTCCGCACATTCCAATTACTCGCATCACCGATCTACGCGTCGTGGGTCTGGAGTCCGTCGATCTGGCGCCTTGCCATCTTCCCTAGCTGCCGATCAGCATGAGTCGGCAGCCACGGCATCCAGGTCCGCGTCGATGTCAGTCGATTTGACCTGTAGTAGTAGTGATTGACTACGGGTGACTACGTGGGCTACAACTAGCCATGCAGGAACTACGCGGGACTATGCGAGCTACATGACGCTATGCACAGGATCCGAGGCACGATCCAGGGCTCTAAGAGGAGGGTGAGGGGTCAGCGGGATTGGGGGCGTGGTTATTGGACGAGGGGATTATTGGGGATTGCCTGAGTAGTGGATGTGGGAAAGCTTAAGGACGGGATGGGCGTCTGTTGTGGAATGGTTTTGTGTTTACTATCATTTTTTGACTGGGCTCCAACATCCTTCCTTTGTGGAACAGCAGGAAAGATATACAACCTCTTGAATCAATCGGAAACATGCGCTCTACACTCGTCACCACAGTGCTCGTCGGAGCAGGCGTAGTATCAGCAAAAGGCCTCTTAGATCTCCCACTCGACATAGCAAATCTACTCACTTCGCTCGCCCCAGCACCCGCAAGCGACCCCCGATGGACAAACTGGCATCCCGCTTCCAGCGGTGATGTACGCTCCCCCTGCCCCGGCCTCAACGCCCTAGCAAACCACGACTTCATCCACCGCAACGGGCGCAACATGACCATCCCACACCTAATCGCCGGCCTCGCCGCCGGCCTAAACATGGGCGCAGACTTCACCACCGCTATAGGAGCTGCGGGTTTACTCTCCTCTCCAAACCCACTAGGCGGTTCCTTCGACCTCGACGACCTGTCCATGCACAACTTCCCCATTGAGCACGACGCCAGCATGTCGCGCCAAGATGCGTACTTCGCTAACCCGCAGCCCTTCCATAACCCCACGTGGCAGCAATACATCTCCTTCTTTAACGGCAAAGAGCGTACGGATATCCCGACGGCGAGTAAGGCGAAGTACGCGCGCACGACGGATAGCCAGAAGAGGAACCCGGAGTTTGTGTATGGAGCGAGGGAGGCGGTACTGAGTTACGGCGAGAATGCGTTGTATCTTTCCACCATGGGAGACCCGGTTACGGGAAAGGCCAAGCTCGAGTATGTGAAGAGTTTGTTTGAGATGGAGAAGTTGCCGTTTGAGCTGGGGTGGAGGCCGAGTGTGCTGCCGACTACATTGCCCAGTTTGGGGTTGATGATTGTGCAGTTGCAGTCGAGTTCGCCGGAGCCGTTATTGGAGGGCGTTAAGATTGTGGCGTAAGTGTTCTTCTCCCGTGTCTTGTCGAGTGAGATGTATGTGCTAACGGTTGCTGCTAGGGACTCGTACAAAGATGTGTTCTTTGCTATTGTTGGGGGGTCGAATATCTTGGGTAACCTTACCGGAGGTATTAGTGAGGCGCTGGGATTGTAGAGTACGTTGCGTCGGTGTTAGGAGTAGGCTACGAATCGAACCTTGTCCATTCAGCGCCCGAAGCCCATCCTTGTCATCTCATCCGCATAACTGTTAAAATGCGGGCGTTGATGTGCCGCAGGTGCTGGCCACTGTACTGGCAACTGTCTGTAGTAGCCAAATCCTGGCTGCCATGGGATATACTGTTGCTGGTACCGAGCATGATACTCAGGCGTATACATCGGCTGGGCAGCATGGTATTGCGAGTACCCTGGTGGTGGTTGAGGCCGACATTGCTGATACGGAGGTAACTGTTGACCCTGCGACCACTGTGTATACTCCACAGGATACCAATGAACGAAGCTCGGCCGCGTGTAGTTCTGATGTCGTCCCCAAAATGCGTATAGACGTTGTTGCCACTGGGTCTGGTACGTCTCGTAGTTGCCAGGCTGTCCCCACGACCTGTCGGGCGCATCGTGGACAGCTTCGTAGGCAGTATAGGGCGTTGGGTTGTAGTCAACCCGTTCGATTACTTTCTCCAGGTCCGCGGCGATCCGCTGTTCGCGGCGCGGCTTTGGTGCGTGGATGATAGTCTTGCAATCACCGTGCCCATCATCTTCAGCAAGTTCAGACGAAACCTGCGTCGGCAGCGTTGACTGATTCCCAGAGCTCGATCCAGAGTTACCAAAGTAAAGTGAAAAAAGGACGGGATGCTGCGCCCAGTATCGTTTAGTCTTGTCGGTAGTTTCGTCGAAATCTTGCCGTGTATGATCAGTCATGTTGCTGAAATACCTTTCAGCCATACAAGCCGGCGATTCGCGGATCAGCTGCAAGAAGGCTTCGTGCTTCTTGGCTGCCTGAAATTCTGGGCAGTCTTGGTGGTCTGGCTTCTCTGGGTGGATTTGCTCCACAATGACATTGTTATGCTCTTGCATGACAGGCTTGTTGGTAGGAGCAGCCTGGTTGCTCTTGGAAGCTGCAAGCTGAGAGGACATGATGCTGGTGGATGCGTGTTCTGCTTTCGAAAATGTAGGCGCGTGATGTTGGTATGCGCGTGGTTGAGAAAGTGTCTGGTTTGGTGAGTGCACTTGGATGAAGATAGTCTGAAAGTCTTGGAGGGAAGGTGAACAAACAACCACTTTTACTGTGAAATGCGAGAGTTATTATATACATATCTCAATACGAAAACGAAAGCTGCACTAACGCAACTATGGTTGACCTGCGATACATTGGCCAATGCAGGACAGTCATTCATACTGCCACAGTAAGCAAGACTGCCACAGTAAGCAAGACTGCCACAGTAAGCAAGTCTGGCATTATGAGGACGTCTTGTAGCCTAACCTGGGGACAGAGTTGAGAACCAAGGCTGCCGAAAAGAGTGGGTCACCAACCGGAGCGCAAGCTTACAAAGGGCAAGTGACGAGCAGTGTAATCGCGCGGTACAGTCACGAAGAGACTACAGAGAGTAAGTAAAAAGTTGTATTAAATTAGGGAAGGTTCCAGACTTTTCGAACTCTGAAGCACTCGATATCAGTAGCCGAAAGAGAGGAGACAGAGGGGTATCAAGGCTGTGAAGAAACGCCGCACGCTATGCTTGATGTAAAACAAGACCGCAACGAGAACAAGACAAAACCAGTAGTGTAACATAATTTGAAATGCAGCGAGGTCCACAAGCCTGCTTCCGGTCATACCATGACCAAGTTTGAGGAGCGACCTCATCTTCGAGAGGACAAGAGTCCCGAAAGCCCGGAGGACTGTAAGAGTGCTCAATGTGAGATGGCATCCATCTGCAAATGTCTCTTCACTCGCCAATATGTTCACGCTCGCGATGTTTCGCCTCGTAGTCCGCGTTGAACTGACCCAGCAGGCCCGGAGCTTCGTCGCATGTCGCAAACCGAAGGGGCATGCTGTGTCCCAGCTGGTCTGGATCTTGCGCACCATGCGGAATGCCGTACGCCATGTGGAGATTTGTGATCCGGCGCTTGTTGAAATGCTTCACCGAAGCCATCACGATACGCTTCTTTTGGTAGTCGTACCGAGCAGTATTACTCTCCAACGAGGTGTCGGAGTTGCGGCGGTTGGCTGCCTTCTCGTCTTCGCTCAGGTATGAGCTTGCATCTGAACTTGACTCTGACGGTGAGGCAGCACTGATCATGTTGGTGAAGTGGCCTTCGGAGACCACTTGGTCTGCTTGGCAGCCATATCCCAGCAAGACCTCGCCATCGGGACCGCGGGGAAAGATGAGAGAGCAACCTTCGAGCTCCCATGTTATTTCGCTCATTTTTTGGAGCTCGCCCTCTACTTCAGTCATGTCGTCTGCCTCGCCAATAGGCTCCAGTGGCTCGCAGTACGTCTCATCAGCGTTGGAGAGCGTAGTGTGGTGAATAACTGGAGTCTCGATGGATGAGACCCAACCAAGGACGATATCTCGCTTACGCTGGGGAAAGATGTTCTTCATCGCGGCAGCGTCGTTGAAGTGATGCTCTCCTTCGTCATCACTGTATTCGCTGATGATGTCGCAGATGCAGGTATCGTCAACATCAGCAACATGCTTGCTATTACGCATGATGGCGCGCATCTTGGTCTGCAGAAGAAGGATGACTCTGCCCTCGCTATACTCCAGGATTCGGGGGATGTTTATATCCTTGAGAGAAACCTTGCGCAAGGCCTTGTGTTCTTCCTCGGTCTTCGCGACGTCAGGAATTAGATCTTCGATCTTGACCTGCAGCAGGCGACCAGGTTCCAGAAGCGCAGCTGCGTTTAATTCAGCTTGCATCATCTTATCGGCCTCTGGGGGCGCGTCGCGGCTCGCGGCGTGGATAGCAGCGCGAAGCCTCTTCGCGGGTGGTGCTCCTTTATGCTTGTTGACAACAGGGAAGACTTTCCTCAGGAGTATCTCATGCGCAAAGATATCGCTGTCGGGGTAGTCTTCCGAAAGTTCGAGCGCAACGTTGAACCAAGGCCTCAGAAGATAGAACTCTTCGTGCCATGGCGGGACGACCGGGAAGTCGGGGTTCTCGAGGAGCTTGGCCGCGAGAAGGCTGTAGTCCTTTTCCGCGACACGGCCGGCGGGGAAGTCATCCAAGAAGAGGTTGAACTTGTTATGGCGGCTCATCTGGTCAGCTGTGTGAAGCTTGACAGGAGACGAGTGTGTGGGTAGCTCCGGGACATGTAGAGCCCCCATCTCCAGTGCTAGCTCGATCTCGGACGCTACTGCACGAAGGGTCGCGGAGAGGCTATCGTGGGGTATGCGAATTAGGTTCACCAAGATGTGATCCCATGCTTCTCGATCGACCTGGGCCACAAGGGTGGGGGCCACAAGGGTGGTGGATGCGAGGGGAGTCGAACGCAGAAAGCTTGTTGCGCTGAGAATATCCTCCAGTGCTGGCGCTGTCAGTGTCTTGGCCTATGAACTACATTTGAAGATCGGCGTACCTTTCGTCTGCTCCTGCTCCAACTTGAAAGCGATTGTCGCAGCGCTCAACGCTGCCTTGCTCGGGACCGACCAGACTGAACCCAGGCGTCGAAACTTGGCGTAAGGAGACAGTCCAGGAGCGCGGGTTGAGCGAGTGACTGTCTGGCGAAGATATGTCTCCGCAGGGGGTAGAGCGCCAGTGCGACTACCACGCGCGCCAAATAGACCGCTGGGATGCTCGAAGATGGTGTACGCATTGCTGAAGAAGTACGGCGCGGCTGGAAGAGAAAAGCAACTCGCGCGTAGTCCGAGGTGAGCCATGTCGGCGGCTTTGTCGGGTTACAGAGAGTGGTGGGTGTTTTGACGACTCGCGCGAGTGGTGAGACGGTAGAAAACTGTTGTTTGTATATATCAAAGTTCCAAGCGCGTGATCTAGGCGTCACTGGGAACTTTCGCGGTTCTGGGTTAGCGTATCGTAGTGAAGTGTACACTTGAAAGGGGCTCGTGCTTTCTGACGTAGGTCGAAGTAGTGAATCTTGAGCAGAACCTTCAAAGAGTGCACGAAAAGGGTTATGGGTCGCGTGATCATACAATCACGGCTGCAAAGGGCGCGTATACTGGCGCGCAGCCTATGTCAGTCGCAGAATGGACGCGGTCTCTGGAGTAGGAATATGGACTGTGCAGCATATGCTTGCTATCATACAGTCTTTACTTTACCAGAACGATTGAGCTGCTGTTTGCCGTAGATACTTCAGACCTATCGGCTTGCTGACGTTGTTTGTGAAGAGCTACTCTCCCATGGACTCCTTGGAACCAACGGTAGACGCATACAGCGCATAGGTCATGCTCGCGGTAGCCAATCCCTGAAGACGCCGTCGATTATATGGAAGCCTGAAATTCCATGATTGCGACATGTTTAGCGTAAACGTGAAATCTGGCCTTCTTTCAAAGTCAGGTGTATGGGAAACATGTAATCGATCCGAATATTGGTGGTGTTCACCTCGCGGTAGGCAGCAAAGTACCGGCGGAATTCTAAATTCATTTCCAATCATATCCATGCTCTTTACAAAGTTGGCTGTTCGCTCATGATGGCATCTATGAAGACATGGTTTATGTGTCCACCCGAATTTCGAATGGGGAGCGAACGCGATCGGTAGGCATGCTTAAGCTACGAAGGGTTATGGGCTTCTCCCTTGAAGATGCACTCATGAGCGTAGTAGGCAGACGTTGCGCCAGGATGGCAGCTGGGTGTAGGTAGTTGGAAAGACAAGGGGAAGCTACGCTGGGTTGAGGTTTGCCAATGACGTCATGGGCAAGCGCCGGCATCACCCGGCACCCTTGGCCGGTTCAGGGCAGTCGCGACTACCGAACACGTCCTTTACGCTTCTATTGTACCGTACACATGTATTTGTATCGTTGCGACAGCCACATATGGCCTCAATTACTGGAATGCTATGGTCGCAGCGCACCTGCAGGCCCACGTCGGAGACCACGCCGCAGCAACTCACGAAACAAGTCATTATCGCATGTCTAGGTGCACAAGACCACGAAGGGCTTACTGTCTTTTCAGATACAGCATATGGAGATTGCACAGTATTGCCAAACTTTGTCTGCTTGGTCATCTGGTGTTGTCGCTGCCAGGCTGCCACCAGACGCGTTCACAAAGTGCGAAGCGCATCTCCACAACGACCCAATGTGTACGTTGTCACGATATCAGATCCAACAATCGCACAATACCTTCCAGTTGCTTCGTGTCTCACAAAACTTTGTTATTTACCAACACGGTCAGCACTCTCGGCATCGACGCATTCTTTAGACCCCACAGCACTTGCGGAGTACGAGGACGACATGGGTCTACGAGTCCCACAGCGCTTCAGATGTACCACAGCCGCCCCAACTCTACACAGCCTATTGGTGTGAACTTGCAGGTCGGCCCGAAGGCATGTATGCTCAACTCTCGTTTCGCCGCCGATTGATGGTCTAAGTATGCCAGCATGTGGCACAGGTCAGTTAGCCAGCCAATTGACACCACGGAGTTACGCGCGGGGTGCTCAACCTTGCTCAAATATGGCACAACGAGTACAAACAGAGGTAAATCTGCATAACAGCCTTGTTAATGCCTGCATCAGGCTTTTCACATGACGACCCCGCAGGCGCTTGATATGGAATGACATCCAGCCGCATCTCCGGTTTTGAAAGACCTTCTCACATCATCTTCCGCGTACCACTCAATCGAGGCATTCTCTGTCTACCAACGAAATCACTCGCCTTTCAAGATTCTTGAAGAAATGACCCACACCATGGCAAGCGATGCTAGCGCCGGAGCCAGCTTTTCCAGTGGCGCATATTCTCCTGCGGATTCCAAGGCTGCCTCTGGATTCAAATCATACGCAGAGTATGAGGCGAAACTGAAGCAACCACCCAGGCGCAACTGTTGTCCTGAAAGGGACATTTTGTGGTTGGCAAGCTTTGACGGAGACGGTCATTGTCTGAAATGGGATTACTGCGACACACTCGAAAAGGATTCCATTGAGTACAGCTACACACTCGGATATGATTCCACCAAATACTGCAACGCAC